AGAAGTTTATGTTGAGCAACCAGCCGGGTACGTCCGAGTCGGGAACGAGAACAAAGTACTGAAACTAAAGAAAGCTCTGTATGGGTTGAAGCAGGCACCAAGGGCGTGGAACACTCGAATTGATACATATTTCAAGCAGAGTGACTTTCTACAATGTCCATATGAGCATGCACTCTACGTGAAGAAGAATGAGAATGGAGTCTTGTTTGTCGCCCTGTATGTGGACGACCTAATCTTTGTGGGAGACAACGGAAAAATGGTTAAAGAGATTCTTCCAAGGAAGCGATGAAGAATGAATTTGAAATGACAGACTTGGGACTATTAAAATACTTCCTAGGCTTTGAGGTGAAGCAAGCCGAAGACGGAATATTTATTTCCCAAGAAGCCTATGCTAAGGAGATTCTGAAAAGGTTCAAAATGGAGGAATGCAAGCCGGTCAGGACTCCAATGGAGACTGGAACCAAACTTTCTAAGTTTGGGGGAGGAAATCAAGCTGACACAGGCTTATATAGAAGTCTGGTCGGGTGTCTTAGGTACTTAACCTGTACGAGACCGGACCTGGCTTTCAGCGTTGGGGTTATCAGTCGGTTCATGGAGCACCCGAGGGAATCTCACTGGAAGGCGATAAAGAGGATCCTGAGATACATCCAAGGGACGAAGACGCATGGGCTATTGTACGGGAGGTCGGCCGAGCCTAAAATGATAGGGTATTCTGACAGCGATTGGTGTGGAGATGTAGACGATCGAAAGAGTACCACCGGTTATGTTTTCAATCTGGGAAACACAGCTTTCACTTGGTTATCAAAGAAGCAACCGATTGTAACTTTGTCAACATGTGAAGCAGAGTATGTCGCAGCATCATACTGTGTAAGACACGCAGTTTGGGTGAGAAAGATGATGACCGAGCTGGAGCTCGGGAAGACGGAGCCGACTATGATTTGTGTTGACAACAAATCAGCAATAGAGCTTGCAAGGAATCCAGTCCACCATGAGAGGAGCAAGCATATTGACGTAATGACGTTCGATTCCACTTCATCCGAGAGCAAGTGAAGAACAAAGAGGTCAGTCTAATTCACGTAGCGAGCCGGGATCAAGCAGCAGACATCTTCACAAAGGCATTGCCAATCGCAACCTTTGAGCATTGCAAGTTGGGGCTCAGAATGAGAGACCGAAGAGAATTAAGATTAGGGGAGGAATTTGTTGGGATTAATTAATTAATCTTAATTAGTTTACTTCCTAGGGAACATAAATTATCTTTCCCTACTTTTATTGGAAAGATGAAAGGTCTTCTTGGAAAGGTAAATTGTATTTCCTAGGGATTATTTTACTCCTCTTGTAATGCATGCCTATATAAGGCCACCAATTGTAATGTTTTATCAAGTGGAATATAATACATTCTCCTCCATTCCTTTGAGTTGTAAGTTAGCCAAATACTTAGAATATTTTCGGATATTTGGGGCCTTCAAAGCTGTGGGGGACTTGGGGAGTAGGAGAGGGGGACGGAGGTGCAGGGGAGAGGGCTGGGGGCAGGGGAGGGGGATGAAGGTGCAGAGGAGGGGGTTGGGGGACATGGGAGGGGGATGTGGGTGAATGGGAGGGGGCTGGGGTGCAGGGGAGGGGGCTGAGGGTGCAAGGGAGGGGGCTGGGGTGAAGGGAGGGGTTGGGGCTGGGTGAGGGGCTGTAGGTGGGTTCACATGGCGGTGTCGGTGTCGAGGCGGTAGAGTGATGGTTTCCAGTAAAAAATTCGATGGAGAAAAGTCACCGGAAAATTTCCCCGATGGCACAGTGACACGTTTTCCGGTACAGTGACATCTGAAAGTGACATGAAAACCGGTTGTGACATTTTAAAAGTGACATAAAAATCTGGCAATGACATAAAAATCCGACAATGACATAAAAAATCGCAGTGACATCATGTTTTTCCAAATATGTGATCCTTTTAATCACTTTTTTGTCCTATGATAAAAATGGTCACATTTTTGGAAATTAGCTTCAAATTAGTAATTATTCAAGGAAAAAGCCCTATTATTTAACTACATTTATCATTTTGACATTTTTTGCATATACGTTATGCAATTAAATTTTGGCCCCACCTCAAAGGAAATGCTAGATCCACCCCTCGTTAGAAGGATCTATATGGTCAGTGATTGTTGTGTCACATCCGTTTAGTGGTTAGTGATTCGTATTGCTTTTTCGGGGGTAATCGTTTCTAAGTATAACCATAGGGTTGATAGTGCTAGTTGAATTGGTTACATATAGTTTTTGTCAGTGTTGCTCTCTTTGAGTTTGTTGTAACGATCCGAATTCTAATGATAAATATAAGCAGTTTTTCCTTTCAAAAAAATACTCTCTTTGTATTTAAAAGATCATTGCATTATGTCTTGGCACAATAATTAAGGGAGAAACAATAGGGGTGATGAATGATGTAGAAAAAGTAGAAGAGAAGGTGAAAAATAGGAAATAAAAGATAAAAAATAGAAAAAGAAAGGGTAATTGAGTATTTTAAAGCAAAAATTTATCAAAAAGAGAAAATGTTGCAACTTTTAAATACATCCTAAATATAAAAGTGTAGCAAACTATTGAATATGAAAGGAGTATAACATTTGACACTAGATGGGAAACTGATTACTTCCATTTGTTAATGGATTTGGATACTTAATTAAGTTGTGCACATTCTCTTTATGTTAGGGTTCTTTTTCGACATTTTGTTTTGAAAGAATGACCCAAATATTACCTGTGGAGTTTCATAGGACAAAAATATAACCACTTTTTGTTTGGAATCTGATTTAAATCCTAAGCCCATTCTCTTCTCCCGCATCTTCCATCGACTTCAGTTTTGCGCTCTGCTTTCTCTTCTCGCGCATTCACACTCAGTCCTCCATCGCCGCCCGTCGACACCAACGCCACCTCCATCCGCGTCAACACCTCCGCACCTCACCGCCGTTTCTTTTCCTTCTCATTTCTCGTCCCGTCCTCCGCCGTCTCGCCACCCCACTGTCTCCATCGCTCCTCTTCTCCTTCATCGTTGGAACTGAAATCGACTAGCGACGCAGATCTGTCCTCCATGGCCGTCGCTGTATCACGTACGTATTGCGATGGACGAGTCTGTTTTTTCAATGACTGTGTCTGTTGGCTACCTACGAGTTGATTGACACTTAGGGTTCAAGGGGACGGCTTTGTGCTGCGGAGGCGCAATTGGGGGCGCCATTGTGCTGCGGAGGCTCAATTGGGAGTTGCGTTGTGCTGAAGAAACGTAATTGAGGGTGGCGTTGGGCTGAGGAGTGCTGGCAGGGGGTGGGAGAGTGGGTGAGTGCAGGGGCATGGGGCAGGGGGAGGGGATTGAGGGGAGGGGATTGAGGGTAGGGTCTGGGGCAGTGGTTAGGTGCGGCAACTTGGAGGCGGGTTGTGGTGGTGGGATGCCACAGTTGCAGGGGCTAGGGTGGGTTGTGGTGGTGGGAGGGACTGGGCATGGTTTTGGGGAAGCTGTGGTGGGGGCTGGAGGTTGGGGCTAAGGGTGGCTGGCTGGATGTGGTCACTGGCAGTGACGACCCTCGACGGTCGGGTCAATGCGAGGGTGGCAGGGACATGGGAAATGGTTGGCAGTGGTGTTGGTCACTGGGCGGTGGCATTGGTCGGGGAGGTGACTAGGGACTGGGGAGTCAAGCCGGCCCCCTGGTGGCGTGGTGGTTGGCGGCGGTGATCCAAGGTGATGGTCGGCAACGGCGATAAGGCGGGGTAGGCTGGTAACAGGACTGTGAGGGGCCGGGGAAGAATGAGGCAAAGTGACTGGAGTCAGCGTGTCACTGTGGCGGTGTCACCGGTGGCGGTAGATGTCATATTCACCGGAAAAAGTAGCCAACGACGGCATATTGACATGGTTAACGACACAGTGACACGTTTGACGGCATAAGTGACATATAAAAGTGACATGAAAACGGTATTGACATTTAAAAGTGACGAAAACTGACAGTGACATTCAAAAGTGACATAAAATCAGTGACATAAAAATTTAACAGTGACAAAAATCTGACGAACAATGTTTTTCCAAATATATGACTTTCTTGATCACATTTTTGTACTTTTATAAAAGTGGTCAATTTTTTGAAATTGACTCTAAATTAATAATATTCAAGTAAAAAGCCCTTTTGTTTTAGGCTTCTTTAATTCTAAACTGTTTTAGGCTTCTTTAATTCTAAACTTTCTCCAATATATAATTCTCTGTATAGAATTCCACTTCATGTCACTGCCTCCATATACGTCATATTGAGTTAACTGATCTTTCAAACCAAGGTACGTCGTCGCATCAAATCTTTCGAGTCTCTGGTAAATCCTTTCATAACGTGATGTTTTTACGTCGTATAATATAATCGTCCATCTTGCTTCTTTTTTATTGTATAAAAAAATTGCATGAAATCGTTTAATTAGATTTGTGGGTGGGTAGAATTGTATACTCTAATCCTTATATCCGTATTTAATTTGTTAGAGCTTTTAGTTAGGGTTCCATCATTCCCATCAATATAGACCGAACAACTTCAAAATTTATACAGTATCAACTTTAAATACACTACGTAGATCATAGCTGATAATGTTGATAATTTGATATAAACACTTGCGCAATAACTTAAGTGAATCTAGGGGCTGTTTATTTTTTTCCTAATTAAGTCCTGTTTAGAATAAAAGAGGTGTTTATTTTATGTGATGAATTAACAGAAAGATTTGAAAATTTATTAAGTCCATTAAGTCGTAAGTAACCAGTTTCCAATTCTTAATTTTACTAGATCCGGAATCCATAATGGATACCTAGTGATTCGGAATAATTAATAAAATTTTTATCAATTCAGGATCCGAAAGATAGACGAATACTCAATAACTAATTAATAACTATCCTGGTGGGTATTTGCAGGAGATGAGTTTCAGGCCTAATAATAACAGTTCTCTATATATTCAAGAAGAGCATAACACAATGGACTCTTCTTCAACTGGTACAGTTTTTTTCCCAAGGGAGATATTTTTCGAAATTCTGACAAGGCTTCCTGCAAAAGCTTTGGTACGATTCAAGTGTGTTTCCAAATTCTTTTCTTCTCTTATAGCTGAGCCCCTCTTTGTTAAAGTGCACCACGACCGATCCTCAGGCCGCCCCAATGGAACCCAAATCCTCATATCTATTCCCTCCTCAAGCAAAGACCACTTCTACACCATAGATGACACCGGAGAAGACAAAGGAATGCTCCAAGCCAATCGTGTCCATTATTTGGAAGGAAAACAGTTCAAAAATCTGAATATTTCTTCCCGGGCTACTAATGGCCTGATTTGTTTATTCAACCGCCGTGGAGATGTCAAGATTTGCAACCCTAGTACAAGGTATTGGTGCATCTAGTCGTCTCGTCTGAATTAATCTGATATCGTCCTGATTTATTTAAGTATGATCTAAAAATCTAAATTAACTTCGAACACATTTGTTACATGACTAATGTTTTTTTGCCCAGATATGGTCTTTCCGATGGTTAAAATCGCCGGAGAAGGATCACAAATGGTCAAGAAATATTAGTCAAGTATCAAAAGTTGACAAAGTAAAGACATGTACTAAATGTGAAATTCACAACTCATAGGACCAAAAGTGAAATTAATTCATTAAGGTTATAATTATAATGATAATTATAATTCTAATATAAATAGTAGTAAAAATAATAATAGATAATAATATAAAAAATAATATTAATAATAATTATAATAATATTAATAATTATACTACTACTACTACTAATAATAATAATTATAATAATAATAATCATAATAATTCATATTAGATCAGACTAGATCTTAAGATATTCAGATCATAAACATTAGAGATATTACCCGAAATAGGACTAAAACAGTTTGAAAATTCCAAAATAGGACTGCCATGTTTTTATTCCCAAAATAGGACTAATTACTGACATGTTTTAATTTGGCAGTACCAGACTTCAAACATGACATCATTTTCTAAATATGGCACTAATTAGTCTTATTTTGGAAATAAAAAACATGAGAGTCATATTTTGGAATTTTCATACTGTTTTAGTCCTATTTCGGGAAGTTTCCCTAAACATTAATATCAGACGAATAGAATAACTTCTAAATTAGGGGTATTAATTAGTAGTAGGTACCTCCGTCCCAACTTAAGCTTCTCATTGAAAATGACACAACTATTTAGACAATAATTAAATAAGGTAGTTTGAGTATATTTTGAGACATTGTTGTGGGGTAATATTAGATGATGAGGTAACTATATTAATGATAATATGATGTTATAGGTGTAGTATTTTTAATATTCGATGATTAATTTATCATTTAAGAGTGTTAATTATTTCCTAAAATAGAAATGAGAAACTTTACCTGGAACGTCCAGAAAATGAAAGTGAGAAGCTTAAGTTCAGAGTACTATTTATTTCTTTATCATATTGTTGTTCTCTGTTTGAAATGACTAACATTGTGGTTCTCTTTTCTATGGTATGAACTTAATGTTATTCTAAACAAGGCAACATATTTCCTTGCCAAGAGCTGTGGCGAGCGTAGATCCAATCTACACTTGTTATATCTTGGGTTTTGATCCGATTTCAAAAAACTACAAGGTTTTGAAGTTGCAAATGTCGTTTGATCATTGGGATAATGATTACAAGAGGCAATATTGTGTGTTAACTCTCGAAGTGGATAAATCATGGAGGCAGATTAGTAATGCTTTACTTAGGTACCCCGATGCAAGTGTTCACATTGACGGTATTATCTACTTGATAAGCTCGATAAATAGACAAGAAATTTGTACTTTCAACGTTGGAGATGAGAATATTCGGTCGGTACCTTTCCCGGGTATTGACGTGGAAAAATGTACTATCCCAACGTTGTGGGGATTGTCATGGATGGAAATCGACGGTCGGCTTGCCGTCGTTCATATACGAAGTAAGAGCTTGGTAGAACGAGTAATGGATATTTGGACTTTGGAGAAATCGATGAAATGGGAGAAACAAGTGATTTCCATTCCATGGGAAGAGAGTTTAATAGTTAAAGATTCTATGGACATTGTTTCCACAAGTACTAATTCAGGAGAAATATTGTTGTTAATTCATGGGGAGGGATCTCTACGAGTTTTACTTTATGCAATTAAGAAACATGTGTGGAGAAATTTTGAAGTATGTGGACTTGATGATTGTTTAGATCATCATCTTAGGAGTTCAAAGAATGTGGTGGATGTCGTAGAGGAGAATTTGTATTTTTTTTCACATAATGATTGATTAGTTATTTTGTTTTTGTTTAATGTTGATTACAAAGTTGTAGATTTGTATATCCAGACGACATATTCTGATTTTCTCTCAACTTTGAACATGTATTATATTTTCGATCTTACTTCTAGTGTTCTACTCGATCCATCTAAAGTAGGGTTGGACAAAATGATTTGATTTAATCGAACTGATAAAAAAAATGGTACTTTGTTTTGGTTTGATTTTAAATCGGGAAACCGTAAACCTAACCGAACACCGAACAACTTGTATTATTTATAAAAATAATAGTGTGATTATGAGAAGAAGTGCAATAATGTAGAGAATTGACATGGACATAAAGAGCAGTTATCAAATCTAAAAAAAAGAATTATAAAAAAACATTATTGTAATATCGTGTCACAACTTTCACATGGGAGTGCATTATATTTAATTAAACGTAAAAGCTAACTTTATCAAAACTAAAAAAACAATAAACTAAAGTGTCATAACTTAAGTGTATGAAGTGCATTATATGTCGTGCAGTGAACACTTGCATAAAGTGCAGTATTTTCCTTGGATGGAAGTAGTGCAAAATGCATCAGTTTTAAATAAGTGTATTTTCGTCCTTCCACATTTTAATATAACAAGAATTTCTTTTTTTTCTTCGATTTTTAATCATATTTCGAGAAAAAACAAAACTCGTCACATTTCGGGAAATTGAATATGGTTTAGTTATATCTCGGGAAAATATTTCCCATAAAATAAACATATGCCATCAAATCAGATCGAACTAAATTCAACCTCATAATTTTCATTTTGGTAAATCGAACTTGAAACAAACCCAACCGAAACAATATCGAAACCAAACCGAAACACAAATTGTTTTAGTTCGGTACAATATCTCCCAAACCGAATAAACCAAAATTGAACCCAAACCTATGAAAACCGAACCGTAAAGCAAATTTCCCACCCCTTATTCTAAAATCTAAAGAGATTCTTAGCTTGTCTCGCTTTTTTATTTTTGGAATCGGCCAAACTCGGCAAGTTATGAGCCCGACCTCGAAGGTACCAGGCTCGGCACCAAATCCGACCTCGGAAGTCAACGCAAAGTCAACCTACTAAGGCACTAGGCAGTCAGTCATCCCAGAGGCAGAACCAGGAACATAATGAGCTCTCTGGCAATGAACCTGAGTCTCCAATTACTGACCCGATAGGCTCAAGGTCAGATTAAAGCATCGTGGACTTAGACAAATCCGCATGGACCAACATGACTATGAGGTATTGCCACGTCATTCCCCGCAACGGATAATATGCCAGAATGCACATGCTTAACCACACGGGTATTCTTGTATCAGCTTGTTAGAGATAACTCCAATCAGCCAGCTGTCCAAGACTATGGATGTATTTACTTGGACTGTAATTTGATGGTCTGGTCTGGTTTGGTCTGGTCTGGTCTGAAATTTTATTTTTTATATTTCTTGCATAAAGATTTTATTTTATATATATATATATATATATATATATATATATATTATAATCCATAAATAATTATACTTTATTCATTTATAATTAAAAATAATAATAGTAATAATACTAATAATACTAATAATAATAACAATAACAATGATGATGATGATGATGATGCTGCTGCTGATGATGATGATGATGGTAATAATAATAATAATAATAACAATAACAACAACAATAATAATAATATATGGTCTGGTCTGATTTGGTTTGAAATTTTATTTTATATATTTTTTGCATAAAGATTTTAGTTTTATATATATTATAATCCATAAATAATTATATTTTATTGATTTATAATTAAAAATAATAATAGTAATAATAGTAATAATACTAATAATAATAACGATAACAATGATGATGATGATGATGATGCTGACGATGACGACAATAATAATAATAATAATAATAAAATATGGTCTGGTCTGGTCTGGTCTGTTTTGGTCTGGTCTGGTCTAATCTGGGACGAATTACAGTCCAAGTAAAAACAACCTATCTCTCCAATCACCTTTACACGTGGCTGCTCCCCATCGACTTAGACTGTTAGTTTGTTAGAATAGATTGGACATGTGTCCTCTTCCTATTAGTTCAACATCTTTTTACTTGGGCATCAAGTATTGCCTTTTCTAGTATAAATATCACCTTCCAACTTGTGGAAAGGGACCGCATTCTCAATTCTCACACTGTAAGTCTACCGGATTATAAACGTGTACTTTCAGATCAGTTCCCTCTCCTAACAGGGACGCTCTGGTAGTGAAATGCGAGGTGGGCGCAGCCATCGATCGATCTTCTGTCAACATTATGTACTCCAGACATTCCATGAGCTGGACCTCCACCTCAACTCTCTGTGGCCCATCCGAATTCCCCTCTTCGGATTTACCGGTGACTCCATAGATGTCGAGGGCACTATTGAGCTCACCCTTAGATTCAAGGACGGATCTCACCACTCTAGAATCCCTGTGGAGTTCGTGGTGGTGCGACTCGAGTGTGCTCACAACGTCATACTTGGAAGGCTAGCATTGGAGGACTTGGAGGCAGTGATCTCCATGCGGCATCTCTGTATGAAATTCCCGACTAAGTTCGGGGCCGGGTACTGCAAAGGAAGCCAGAAAATATCCCAATCCTGTTATATGAAGATGACCAAGCGGATGGCTGCCAGGGACATGCACATCAATATAATATCTCAGGCTACACTTCAAGAGGAGACTCCCAGGGCCGAGCCCGTGGATGCACGGGAAACAGTTATCCTGGACCAGGCCAATCCAGAAAGAGCAGTTCAGATCAGAACAAACCTGAAGCCAGGATTGAGACAAGCAATAATCTCTGTTCTTGTCAAATACAAAGTCATTTTCACCCTAGACCCTGATGAAATGCCGGGGATAAGTCGTGACATAATCACACACAAGCTAACCGTGGACCTCAACACGACGCCAGTTAAACAGCGCAAGCGGTACCTGTCTACGGACATGCAGGAATTCATCAAGGCTAAGGTAACTATGCTCCTTAGCATAAATCATATCGTCGAAGTCAAATACCCGGATTGGCTAGCAAATGTTGTTTTGGCACCCAAGCCACCAACATTTCGCATATGCGTTGATTATACCGACCTCAATAAGGCTTGCCTGATGGATCCATTCTCACTGCCGAACATCGATCAACTTGTTGATGAAACAACCGGCTGTGAGCTCATGAGCTTCCTGGGCGCCTTCCGAGGCTATCACCATATTTTCATGCACGAGTCCGACGCCCAAAAGACGGCATTCATGACTCCAGAAGGCATTTTCTGCTACCTGGTCATGGCGTTCGGGCTCAAGAACTCAGGCGCCACCTACATCCGCATGGTGGCCAGGGTCTTCAAAGCTGTGCTCGGCAGAACAATGGAGGCATACGTGGATGACATGATAGTCAAAAGTCACAAAGTCGGCACACACGCCGAGGACCTGGAGGAGATCTTCAAGATCATGAACAAAATCAACCTCCGGCTAAACCCCAAGAAGTTCATATTTGCAGTTCAGGGGGCAAATTCCTGGGCTATATGATAAGCCAACGTGGGATTGAGCCAAACACGAAGAAGGTGCAGGCTATACTCAATATGGAGCCGCCCCGAAATGTCAAAGAAGTCCAGAGGTTAACTGGGAAATTGGCAGCCCTCAACCGGTTCCTTTCGAAATCGGCTGAGCGTGCACTGCCTTTCTTCCAAATCATGAGGAAGTCTGCAAAACTCTAGTGGACTCCCGAGTGCCAGACAACATTCGACGACCTCAAGCGATTTCTTGGCTCTCCACCAGTACTGTCAAAACCTGAGCATGGAGAAACATTGTACCTCTACCTTGGCTTCAGCCATGGGGCCGTGAGCTTGGTCCTAATTCGCGAGGAGAATGGAGCTCAAAAGCCCATCTTCTACATTAGCAAAACTTTGCGCGACGCCGAGCTTTGGTACTCCCCGGTAGAGAAGAGTGTACTTGCAGTGGTGTGGACTGTGAAGCGCCTGGCTCATTATTTTCAAGCTCATGCAATCCATATTCTCACCCACCAACCATTGGGTCAACGGATGCGGAGCCCAACAAGCTCAGCCAGGATGTTCAAATGGGCCGTATTCCTGAGCCAATACCAGATTGAGATCAAACCGAGGTCGACCATCAGGGCCAAGCACTCGCCGACTTCATGGCAGAATGCACTGCCAGGGATCTCACCCTGGTTACCTCAACTGACGAGGATGGCTGGTGGACTCTACTCACCGATGGCTCTTCAGCCGTCAAAGCCTGCGAGGGGGGGGGGGGGGGGGGGAGTCGTACTCATCACCCCCAAGGCTTTCCGAGCTTATTATGTTATACGCTTTGCATTCAAAGTCTCCAACAACGAGGCAGAATATGAAGCCTTACTATCTGGCCTACGCCTTGCAGTTAATATGCAGTTACTATATGGACCTTCCGCCAATAATGGTCCGACATGATCGACTGTAAATAAATTCCTATAGTTTCTAAAAAGATATAGCAGATAATCCCTATAAATAATCCCAAATTTTAATTTTTACGTTTAATTTCTATTAAAAATTCACTTGTTAGAACAGGTAATATGTAGTCATGGACCATTATTGGCGGGCGGTCTATATAGTTGAGATTATACAAAAATAATCAATAGTTTGGATTATTGTTAGCGGACCGGCAATAGTTGGGATTATTATTTTCAATTTTTCCTTAATTATTTGAAGAAAATTCCGAAGTGAATGTTTATTGAATATTATTGCTTACCATGGAAAACAAAGGAAAACTTTTGAACTCTTTAAGAAAATACAATGGTTTATCATGTTCTAGGAACCAAGCGCTTCCATCGTTTTCTGAGAGCTTGTCTCAATGCTTAACCTTTAGAACAAGTAATGCACTTTATTTAAAAAATAAAGTAAATATTTAGAACAAGATGAAGTAATGCAGTCCATTACTCTTTAGTCTTTACACGTTAAACATGCACTTTATTTAAAAAATGTCCTTTAAAATGTTAAATAATTTTTACAGATAATGCATGGTGTATTCATCAGTTCATTGGTGTATGCAGTAATGATCAACTTTATGACTTCTGAAAATTTAGCAAGGTATAACTTGACATTAACCTTGAATCATACTTACTAATTTTGGTTTAACTATGATTATCATATGGGTTCTTTTACTTCTGTTTTCTGCTCTCCTTGTTTTCTACATAGTATTTGTATTTCCAGGTATATATGTCTTTACATGTTTCTATGCAGTTCTTTCTAGTTTTACTATTCTCTATTTTTTATTAATTTGGAAATCATTTTTTGCCAACACATATCTAATATCATACATGTGGTGTCAAGGCCACTGTTGGATGATGGCAATGATGATAAGCAACACCACTGGTGATTCTTGCCACCAGTAGTGCTAAACATTAATAATTGTTTCTTAATTATATGAAAAAACAGAGATAAAAGGAAAGCAGTTTTCTGTTTCTAAATTTAAAAACTGGTGAAGTACAATGTTTTCTGTATATTGAATTTGAATAATAGAAAAACTAAACATGATTGTTTTCTGAATTAAATATTCCTTTGCTAAACAGGCCAGGACATAAGACATTTGTTGGGACTGATAGTATTTACTTCTGTATTAATCATAAATTCAAAGAGATTAAGAGAGGTCAATGCCAAGCATCTGTTGATGAGACATAGAATAATCACTTTCCAATGTTTCAAGAACATCTGAGTAATAGAACTCTTTTACATCACGATTCCTTCTGTCAATGATGTTATAACAACATATGGTTTCAAGAATATATTTCGCAATAAAGTATCTAATTCCCTCAAATCTTTTCCTACTCACACAGCATTTAACAAACAGTAATATCCCATAAAAGATTCCTTGTCATATAATAGTATACCTTGAGGCTATGGCAGAGCGTAAGAAAATCAATGGAATTAGAAAGAGAGGGCAAAACTGCATTTAGCAGCCATTGCCGCAGAGAAAAAAAGGTTCTGATGTGTTTAGTCGTCGGATTGCAGGCTTTCAGGTGAAGAGGGAGAGTTCCCCGCCGGTGGATTGAGGCCCTTGGTTCACCAAATTATGTACTTCCACTCTTCCAAGCGGTATTCCTTTTTCACCAGTCTAATTTACACTAAATAATTTATTCTTTGAAATATTTAGTCCGTGTGATTTATGATTAGAATAAACATTGTTCACGAAAATGTGACGAGTAGTAATGAAAAGGGGAAAATAAACAATTTACCCCGAACTTTGCCTTGGTGTAAGTTAGTAACGAAATTTACCCCACCCCATACTTGTCCTTATTAACAATGTAAAACCTGTTTCAACAATCAAATGACATAATAGAGCAGAACAGATAAGAACAATAGCTCCGATCATTGATAGAATGATGTAGAGTTTAGGTACATGTAATGAACTGTCACTGTTTAGCGTAGAATTGCTATTTTATTCCGCGGATGCCTTATTTCGCTCAAGGGTTTCATGCCTGTTCATCCGGACTTTCCAGGTCAGAGAAATAGGCCCATTATATAATAGGCATCTAAGAGACATATGAACTCTAATCATAATTTGGCCCATTGTCTATTAATTAAATTAATTACTACACAAATACACAATAATAAAACATGATTGAACACCATAAAATATCTCTAACAAACAATAACAAATAAACCTTAACAAAAAATAAAATTTGACTGTTAAATAAATTTAGCAACCTCTAACTTATATTATATACGACTAACATGTACTTCGTATTTATTAGGCTTGTCGGCCTATACTTTTACCAACTCCATAATCATTTGTAATAATAAAAATAAGTAAGATTCAAGTTAGTTGTATGCCTGAAGTTGCTCTAGATGATCATTTTAACTATTACATTTCATTTTATTTAAGAAATGAAAAATTATTATAATCAATTCTTTTCTTTAATTTCTTTTCCTTAATTAGTACTCCATATGAAATTAAAAAATTCACATTTTAATGTTAAGAAATAAAGATTTCATCAAGTATTTTCTTAACTTTTTTGGTTATGGAATATAAAATAGGCTCACATAAAGTTCGATTATATGTGGAGGCACCATGAATTAAAACTACATGTTTCATGTAGTTTTTTGCTTGAAAACTCTAGTAGCTTAGTTAGAAATTCAGATTTTTCTTTAAATTGGTGTCATATGAAATATCATAAAAAGTTATGAATTTTGATATATTTATTTGTAAAAATTGAAGTACAAATAAAAAAATTACAACACTTTAAAAAGAAATGTGCCCAACTATTTGTCTCTAGCCCTTTGTTTTTCTACCACACTTCTTCCGTTTCAATCCCCACTCCAAAAAACAGCCCCTCTCATCCCATCTCTAAAATGCAAGATAGAATCCAAAATTTCTATCTTTAACATTTTGGACTCCTAACACCTTCCTATTATAGATGGCCTTAGGGTGTCATCAATTATGATTCCATAGGATTTTAAAAGAGACGATGTTTAATTATGGAGGTAATTGTCATAATTGTCATCAATTATGACAATTCCACCGTCCTCATGATCAATCTGGAATCTAATGGAATTAGGAAAAATCCGTCCACAAAATGCCCATGGATTTTTTAAATCCTGAATTTCAATGGATTTGAGTTTTGAACACAAAATGCAAAAGAAGGAATCTAACCAAACTCTAACCATTACCTCCAGATTTCAATAGATTTCACGTGGAGAAGCAAAGCAAAGCACGAAGTCGAGGATGAGCGCACTACGACACCTAGTCGGATATTACTATTTTAAATCTCTCTAACAAAAGTATGACTAGTGATTAAAAGAACATGTGATTTCCCTACATTACTCCAAGACTACCATGCGTGATTGGTAGTTATAGCCACTAACTCACTTTTTTGTAAACCCAAACATTATTGGTAATATTTACGTTAAAAACTCATTTTCAAATCTTGGATTTCAATGGATTTGAATTTCTAACGCTACGATGTAAAAGAAAGAATCTAACCAAACTCTAACCATTACCTCCAAATTTCAATAGATCTCACGTGGAGAAGCAAAGCAAAGCACGAAAGCGAGGATGAGCGCACTATGGCACCTAATCGGATATTACTACTTTAAATCTGTCATACATGATTTCCCTACAATTACTCCAAGACTGCCATACATGATTGGTAGTTATAGCCACTAGCTCACTTTTTTGTATACTCAAACATTATTGGTAATATTTATGTAAAAAACTCTTTTCTAATCCTTGGATTTAAATGGATTTGAATTTTGAACGCTAAAATGCAAAAGAAAGAATCTAACCAAACTCTAACCATGACCTCCAAATTTCAATAGATTTCACGTGGAGAAGCAAAGCAAAGCACGAAGTCGAGGATGAGTGCACTACGGCACCTAGTCGGATATATGTTGCCGATCTGCATCCTTTCCTTCTTCGGCTTCACACACATCACCTCCTTTCCTTCTTCATCAAGTGTGAGAAGAACCTCTCCAAGATTGGTTTGGATACAAATTGAGAAGTATGTTGGGTGTGAAAGTCGGGAGATCAGAAGCTCCATCTAGGATTCATTGTCATTGGGTGTCACTGATGTCCATAGGTGTCCAAGCCAGATGGTGAGAGGATTTCAATTTCATGGAATTTTATTGATTACAATCTCCTATATGCATTCTATAAAATTTCATATAATCACATTAAATAAAGTCTCAATCTTTTAAAATCTTTGAAATCTAACAGAGACCGCCTCCTTAATTAAGGTGGACATTACCAAGTTATTCTATTCGCATGATGTGAAATTTCTGGTCTGAATTTTGTTAAATCTAGTATGATATAATCTAAATCTTCTCATCTAGGATGTTTTTACTTGGACCATAATTCGTCCCAGATCAGACCAGACCAGATCAGACTAGACCAGACCAGACCTGATCAGTTCAAACCAGACCAGACCAGACTTGGATAGTTATAAAAATACAAAGAAACCAGATCAGACCAGATCAGACCAGACCAGACCAATTCCGACCAGACCAGACCAGACCAGACCAGCAAATTACAATCCTAGTAAAAACATCCCTAATCTAATATGAATCTCTGTAATAATAATAAAAATAATAGTAATTATTTTTAGATCCGATCAGACCTGGTATGAATCTTTCTGATTTGATTTTTCTGATATGACCTGATGTGATGTTTCTTATTTGATCTGGTTTGAATTGTTGTTGAATGACCAAATCTAATATGATTTTTTTATATGGTGTGATTTGAATAAAATAAACATTATTAAACAAGAAGAAAACCCCTTCCTATATATATGCATGTAAATTTTCTGCATTTTATTTTGGGCCGATCGGAACAAAAACAAAAACCCCTCCCTATATATGTACAGAGCGTCATCACGCTATTGTTAGGGTTCTTTAATAGAATAGTTCGTTCCAGATCTTCAAACTTAGCTAGGTAACATCAAGCTCTTAATTAGACTCTTGTTAATTTTTTCATAACGTCATATTTTTACTTCATATAATCATCTTGCTTCTTTTTTCATGTCTTAAAAAATTTACCTTAGGATTAAAATATAGTTTTTTTTCCAAAAATAGAATCAACTTGTTTAAAATACATTAAATATGATTTTTTATTTGTCATTGAACCAAAATACTCTCATAGGGATGGAGCACTGCTGCCCCCAGGTTGTCCGACTGCCGCTTGCCATCGGAACTTTTCCAGATTTTTTCTGCTGGTCTGCCAAATTGAATTTCAATATTGTAGTTTAATGATTAAGTAGGTTTTTTTACTAAATGATCAACCGGTTCAGTTTTAAATGAAATTGTAAATAAACATGATTTAGAGCCCATTTGGTAACACGAAAATCGGCTTATTCGGCTGATTTAGTTCGAATTTATGAAGTTCTAGATGAAGTGGCTGCATTGGCTGATTTTCCTCATTTAAGAAAAAATTATTTTTAAAATAAATTTTATAAATAAAATAAAGAAAAAATTATATGTAAAAATAGCTAAAATGGTCATCTAAGGTAACTTCAGGCAATAAAGCCAGAAAAGTAACTTCAACCTTACTTTTTCTCTTATGATACACAATTCAGCACGTGAAAATAAAAATTACATATTTGGTGAAAAAGTTGGCTGATAAACCTGATGAACCCAAAAACATTGTTACCAAACGGTCTCTTAATGGCTGAACCATTAAGGCATTAAGCCTTTAAGTCACATGTAAATAGTCCCTTCCTCAATTTCACTAGATCGATATTCCTAATCCATATATAACGGGTAGCTAATGATTCCTAATAATTTTTATTCAACGATTTCATAATAATTTTCCTTGTTGGTATTTGCAGGAGATGAGTTTCAATCCTAGCAATAACAGTTCTCTTCATATTCAAGAAGAGCACAATACATTAATGGACTCTTCTTCAACTGGTACAGTTTTTTTACCAAGGGAGATAATTCTTGAAATTCTCACAAGGCTTCCTGCTAAACCTTTAATGCGTTTCAAGTGTGTTTCCAAATTCTTTTATTCTCTGATAACTGAGCCCCTCTTTGCTAAAGTGCACCACGACCGATCCTCGGCCCGCCCCGGTGGAACTCACATCCTCTTAACTCTTCGCTACCCAGCCCAAACCCACTTCTACACCATAGATGACACCGGAGAAGACAAAGGAAAGCTCCAAGCCAATCGGGTCCATTATTTGGAAGGAAAACAGTTTAAAAATCTGAATATCTCATCCCAGGCTAATGGCTTGATTTGTTTATTCAATCATCATGGAGACGTCTCTATTTGCAACCCTAGTTCAAGGTATAATTAGCTTTAAGACTTAGTATTATGTGAAATTGACTGTTGTCTAAGTTTGGTCTGTTCTGATCTGTTTCATTGTGATAATGTAAGTTGGAGTATGGTCTAGTCTAGGAATCAAATAAGTCTAACGAAATACCGTTACGTCAGATATTTAGGATGTTTTCACTTTGATTGACTTTGGTTTCATATTAGATTAGATTTAAACAAACTCAATTCAAACCAGATCCACTCAAATCAAACGAGGGATTTTCAATCCATTTGAAAACATTCTTACTTAAATGATGTAGTAATGTAGCGGTACTAACTACAGAGTATTAAATTAGGGGTATTATGTACTTTGTATATATTTAGTACTACCTTCGTCCGAGATTTAGTTTCTCGTTGAAAATAAGATAATTTGAAATAAGATAATTTGAGTATATTTTGAGAAATAATTTTGATGGGTATATAACATATACTGAGGTCATTGATGATAATTATGAAGCCATAGGCGTATTATCTTTATTTTTTGATGATTAATACTACCTCTGTCCCTTAAAACTTTGTCAAAGTTGACCGGCACGGAGAATAATAAAGTAACAACTGTGTGGTTGAGGTTTGTGCAGAGGAGAGAGAAATAACAGAAACCACAAAATAATTGATTAAAATGGAAAGTGGAAAAGTTTTTTGGGACGTCCCAAATAGGAAAGATGACAAAGTTTTAAGGGACGGAGGGAGTATATCATGTAAGAGTGTCAAATATTTCTTAAAATTGAATTGTGTAGTTTTAGCTGTAACATCTAGAAAAGGTAAGTGAGAAGCTTAAATTGCGAATACTATTTACGAAGTATTTCTTTATGGTATTGTTGTTCTCATTTTGACTAACATTGTGACCCTCTTGTCTATGCTATGAACTTAATGTCATTCTAAACAAGGCAACATATTTCCTATCCAAGAGCTGCAGCGAGCCCAAAAAGTCAAATCTACACTAGTTCTATCTTGGGATTTGATCCGATTTCAGAAAAGTACAAAGTTTTGAAGTTGCAAATCTGGTATGATTTGTATCTTGGCGATTTAAAGAGGCAATATTGTGTGTTAACTCTCGGGGTGGATAAATCGTGGAGGGAGATTAGTAATGCTTTACTTAGGTACCCCAATGAAAGTGTTCACATCGGTGGTATAATCTACTTGATAAGCTCGATAAATGAACAAGAAATTGTCACTTTCAACGTTGGAGACGAGAATATCGGGTCGGTACCTTTCCCGGGTATCGAGGTGAAAAAATCATTCCACCTAATGCTGTTGAGATTGTCATTCATGGAAATTGATGGCCGGCTTGCGGTTGTTCATATACAAAGTAACAATTTCGCAGAACGAGTTATGGATATTTGGATTTTGGAGAAATCAATGAAATGGGAGAAACATAGCATTTCCGTTCCATGGGAAGAGAGTTTAATAGTTAAAGATTCTATGGACATTGTCTCCACATGTACCAATTTAGGGGAAATAGTGATGTTGATTCATGTAAGGGGATCTCTACGAGTTTTACTTTACTCAATTACAAAACATGTGTGGAGAAAGTTTGAAGTATGCGGACTTGATGATCATTTATATGATTATCATAGAAGATCAAACAATGCGGTGGATTTCATGCAAGAGAATTTGTATTTTTTCGATTGAATAGTTAGTTTTTTTGTTTACTATTGGTTTAAGAGTTGTAGAACACAAGTTATATATGTGCAATTATACTATACATATTGTTTTAAGAGTTGTAGAACACAAGTTATATATGTTGAACATTTCCGAAAGAACCCCAATTTGTATATCCACTTCATCCAAGCCGATGTTCTAGCAACAATACTTTGAGTTATGTTGGTTAAATTTCACATAACCAAGCATTCCAGCCTAGCTAGTTGCGAGGTTACCATACCTAGTGAGAGGTCTCGAGTTCGAAACCCGTTAGGCACATAAGGGTTTGAAACTCAATGGAGTGAGTTTCAGCCCTGATTACTTCAACCCCCTCCCCCAGACCCCGCGGAGTAAAAAAAAATCACAACATCTTTCTAATGAAATGTAATGTGTTATTAACATTTCATCTTTATTTTGATTGTCAAACAATCTATTAGGAGTATGTAGTTTATATATAAAGAAATTTTCAAAAGTTATGATACTTTTTGTGCACTTGCAACTACATATATGATTGTTTTATCCTATACAACTTATTCTCGAGAATCAATGAAGGAGACAGTTCTATCATACTATCATGTTGTTTCATTCTCAACTAGAGCTCATTCTACATTTTCACTTGCTTACAAACTACCATTTTGTATAGAGTTTACAATTCATAACCCCTATTAACCTTTTTTATTTTAAAAAATCACACATTACATATGTATCCTCATAATAAAAGATAATTTTAAACAAGTTATTATCATACTCTAGATGTATCCCGTGTATCGCACGGGTACTTCGTTTAGTGTAAAAAACGATACAATATACTAGTGTTTTTGACCATTTTGAAAACATTTTTGGTCCGTGTTAGACATTTATTGACTATAAAATTAGATTTTTTTATCGACATGTTTTATTCGTGTGTAACTTTAGAGATGAAAGTTAGCTGTTTTTAAAAAACACTTCTACATATTATTTTGTTTATATATGGTTGTATGAAGTTATAACCTTGATAGTATATAATTATAATACACTTTTGGTGTAATGTTTTGTAAATTTAACTAGTTTTATTTGTTATTATTTGGGAAATTACACACTTTTGGTGTAATACTTAATTTTCCAGCTAGTTCTTTGTAATTTGTTTAGATTAGTATCATTATGAGCGTAAATCAGGTAAAGATCATCAAAAGGATCCTTGGAAGATCAAAGAAAGTGAAAGAGAACAAGATAAAGTGACGATTTGAGAAATTAGTCATATACCTGGTCGGGTATTGCATATACCCGATTACGTATAACATATAACCGATCGGGTATGGAGTATGGACTTCCCGAGTATCAAATCTGATTTGGGAGGCAATTAAAAGTGCAAGATGAAGATTTGACAAGATTTGTCTTATACCGAATCGGATAAATCGACATACCCGAACGGGTATGATGTGATTTATGAAGGATCCGAGCTATTACTAAAAATACCCGATTGGGTATCCTATATACCTGCTCGGGTATCTGACCCTGCCACCTCCAAACACCTATAAATACACCCATTTTACTTCCCATTTAATCATTAATTCACATATACTCTTAAGCTCAGTTTAGATAAGTGTTTTCTTTATATTTTCTAGTATGTTTAGTCTCTAAATGAGGAGCTAAACCCTTCCATCTAGAGATGGAAATTGTGACCGATCCGGTGGATACCCGTATCAAACCGCCTCGGCCAAACCGGGGAAAACCGCATTGACCGGGTAACGGGTATGGGGCGGGGAATACCCGTTTTGTTTATACGGGTAACGGGGCGGTTACGATTTTATACATGTCCGCCCCATTACCCGTCCCGTACCCGCCCCGTTTATTTTTAGTTATATTTTTATTACATTCTCATCTATTAGTTGTCCCACAACTAAAAGATGAGAATTTTCTATTTTCATTGTGTATATATTAATGACAAATGTACCAATTCTAGTGTATAAATGAAAGTTCATAATAGATCTTAATAGTCTTGTTTGATTATTATCAGATTCTTTCGAGATTGATTATTTTTCAGATTAAGTATTTTTAGATTCAAACTCATTTAGGTTGTCTTCTTTCTCGTATTGTAGATTTGTAGACATGCGAAACTTTAAAGTGGCGTTTAAGTCTAGAGTCATCTAGGTGATGCCATTTTTTGCCTTTTAAAACATTATTTTTATATTAAAATACCAATGACACATTTAATAAAGTGATTACCCGCGGTTACCCGCGGTTATACCCGTTACCCGTTGGGGCGGTTTTGGTTTGGGTAAAAATTACCCGTTGGGTAATGGGGCGGTTATGGGGCGGGGGAACTACCAAACGGGGCGGGTACGGTTATATGTAAAACCGTCCCCGATCCGCCCCGTTGTCATCCCTACTTCCATCTTGGTTTTGCTACACTTAAGCTTATTATTTGCAAGGTGTGAGTACAACAACAACAACAACATCCAAGTCTGAGTCCCAAAAGATATTGGGATCGGCTAACATGAATCGATACATGATATCACAACCAAAAGGAAAAGAAGGAATAAAGATAAAAAGATAAGCTATTATGAAAAGATAATATAAAAAAAGATGAATATATATATATAAATGATAAAATAAAAAGGCTGCAAATAATGCTTATATATAAATAAGGATAAAAAAAACTAGGAAAAAAAAGATGAGGGAAAAAGATTATCAAGATCACTCCTTCACGTGAATACCCGCCCTCCACTTAGTTCTCTCCAAAGTCATGCCCTCATCCAACCCCAGAAGAAGCATATCACTTCGAACTCCCCTAACCCACGTCTGTTTGGGTCTTCCTCTCCCTCTCTTCCCTGCCTCTTCTCCACACATCTCAACTCGCCTAACATGTGCATCACTCGGTCTTCTACGCACATGACCAAACCACCGTAGGCGCGACTCCCGCATCTTGTCTTCAATAGGTGCTACTCCCACCCTTTGTCTGATTGTCTCATTCCTCACGCGGTCCTTCCTAGTATGCCCACACATCCAACGCAGCATGCGCATCTCTGCCACACTCATCTTATGAATGTGACATTGTTTCACTGCCCAACACTCTACGCCATACAGTAATGCAGGCCTAATTGCTGTCCTATAAAATTTACCCTTCAGTCTAGTCGGCATACCTTGGTCACATAGAAATCCTGACGCACTCTTCCACTTCATCCACCCTGTTCTGATTCTATGGGATACATCTCCATCTAACTCACTGTCCTTCTGAATTATGGAGCCCAAGTAACGGAACATATCGCTGACTGGTATCTCCTTACCATCCAGAGTAATTCCGCTATTACCACTACTTCTACCTCCACCAAACTTTCACTCCATGTACTATGTCTTGCTCCGACTTAGTTAGAAACCCTTATTCTCCAATGTTTGGCGCCATACTTCCAACTTTGCTTTAAGACCTGATTGCGTCTCATCAATCAATACAATATCGTCGGCAAACATCATGCACCACGGTATATCGTCTTGAATTGACTTCGTAAGTTCATCCATGACTATGGCAAATAAGAAAGGACTCAAGGCCGATCCTTGGTGCACTCCGATAGTAATAGGGAACTCTTCAGTCCTCCCTACACTAGTACGAACACTTGTAGTACAATCCTCATACATATCCATGATGATGCTGATATACTTGCGTGATATGCCTTTTCTAGTTAAGGTCCACCAAAGAACTTCTCGAGGTACCCTATCATATGCCTTTTCTAAGTCAATGAACACCAAATGCAGATCCTTATGAGCATCTCTATACTTCTCCATAAGTTGCCGAAGAAGGTGAATGGCCTCAGTTGTTGAGCGACCAGGCATAAAACCGAATTGATTCTCTGAAATCTTCACAGTCCTTCGAAGTCTTTGCTCAATCACTCGCTCCCAAAGTTTCATGGTGTGACTCATAAGCTTAATCCCTCGATAGTTGGCACATTCTTGTACATCACCTTTATTCTTAAATAAGGGGATAAGAGTACTCTTCCTCCAACTCGTTGGCATCTTGTTGTTTCTCCAAATCATGTTGAAGAAACTTGTTAACCACTCGACGCCTCTCTCTCCCAAACTTCTCCAAGCCTCGATCGGTATGCCATCTGGCCCCATTGCTCTTTTTCGTCTCATCTTCCTCAGAGCTTCTTTAACTTCCGTTGTTTGGATCCTTCTCACAAAATCACGGTTTACCATACAATCTGGTATGGACAAATCGCCGATATCTTGCGTTTTGTTCCCGTTCAATAGTGTATCAAAGTATGACCTCCACCTCTCTTTTATCTCTCCGTCGTCCATTAATATCCTCTGATCAACATCCTTCACACACTTAACTTTTGCAATATCTTGAGTTCTACGATCACGAAGACGAGCAAGTCTATAAATATCTAGTTCTCCTTCCTTAGAGTCCAACTTTTCATACAACTCCTTGTTCACTTTCCCTCGTGCTTCCCTTACGGCTTTCTTTGCTTGTCTTTTAGCCTCCCTGTATGCTTCTATGTTCTCATCACTCCAATTTGTCCCCAACTTTTTGTAGCAATCTCTTTTGTTCCTTATGGCTTGTTTCACCTCATCATTCCACCAAGACGTGTCCTTTTTAGGTGGCCGACATCCTTTAGATTCTCCAAGTACCTCCCTTTGCCACTTTGTTAATGGTCAACTCCATTGATAACCACACATCATCCACACATGTTTCATTATCAATACGCCATACATCTTCACCGACCATTTTGTGTGTAAAGCATTGTCGAATCATCTTCCTTGAATATTAATTACATCCATAATATTTGCGCATGCATTACTTAAAGGATCAACTGGTTTTTTTATACATTAATTATTACTAGAATCAGTCGACAAATACGCTTGTTATTAATTCGATCCTTTCAAACGGTAATAAACTTGAATTATTAATGCATGTGTCTCATGGTTAATAATCTAAGGAGGATTAATTATATTGATTAAACCAAAAAACCGCTTGTGATGAGATTGTCAATCTCAGATGATTTCATTTTAAGTTTTATTGCTACTACCAGGTCAATACAATTAAGGTGTGTGTTATATATTGACTTGATAGTATGTTTTGTTAATAAACGTGTCTCGTTATTAATAACTACCATCGATGAATTGGAAATACTCCA